GATTTGTTGTTCCACTTATTTATACATTCATTGGTCTGTTCTTGCATGTGCCCTGGCATATTGGGATGACACTCTAACCAACTGAGCTACCCTGCCAGGGCGGCAGAAGACACTTTTCATCTCTACACTTAGAGATTCTAACCCAGTACTACTTGGCACTTCACAGGCTTGTTAGCCCAGCCGCCGTGGCTCAGTGGTTGAGCATTGCCTTATGAACCAGGAGGTCGCAGTTTGGTTCCCAGTCAGGGCACATGCCCGGTTGGGGGCTCCATCTTCAGTGTGGGGCATGCAGGAGGCAGCCCATCAATGATTCTCTCTCATCACTGACGTTTCTATCTCTCCCTCTCCGAAATCAATAAAAATATATTTTAAAAAGTAATAGGACTCACCTACAATCGTCCTGCTTTTCTTTGGATCCCCACTATCGCCGAGACATGTTAGTAAGCCAGGACAAATGGTGAAGGGAAAATGAGACAGAGAGTTAAATGGCCATGCAGTTTGCAGCCACCTAGTAAATCCTATCTTCCTTAAACCAAGGACACTTGAGAGTAAATAATTTATACTTCTCCCCAACAAGAAGGTAAATAGCTTAAACCACCCTATCAGGGAGAGGATAGCCATCCAACTAGTGCCATTTGTGTCAACCAGACCCAAGGACAGATGAAGTTAAGAGCATAAATCCCATTTTGGCACATCAGCATAAAGCTGATGAGTAGCCTATTGATTCTCCACTAAGACGTCTCCTAAACTCCCAGCCATTAAAACAGCCCTAGCTGGTTTAACTCAGTGGATATTGCAGCTTCCCTGGCCCTGGTCGGGGTGTGTGCAGAAGGCAACCAATTGATGTGTTTCTCTCACATCGACACTTCTGTCTCTCCTCCTTTCCACTCTCTCTAAAAATCAACGGAAAAATATCCTCTGGTGAGGGTTAACCAAAACCAAAACAAAACAAAAACCTCAAAACGAAAGTCCCAGCAAGTGCTCTCCCTCCCAGGAGCATGCTGGTTCCTTTCCTTCCCCTTTCCCCCTCACCGGCACATAGTTGCTAAACTCTATGGTTCTCAACCTTCTGGCCCTTTAAATACAGTTCCTCACGTTGTGACCCAACCATAACATTATTTTCGTTGCTACTTCATCACTGTAATGTTGCTACTGTTATGAATCGTCATGTAAGTATCTGATATGCAGGATGGTCTTAGGCGACCCCTGTGAAAGGGTTGTTCCATCGCCAAAGGGGTCGCGACCCACAGGTTGAGAACCACTGCTCTAAGAGCTCCCATGAGACTTGCAACCTGGGAGCAGCAGCTCATCCTGAGCTAAGCCCCTGAACTCTGACTTGTTAGTGAGCCAAAGCAGCCCAGCCCAGGCTTATATCTCCTCCTGTTGCTTCTTCTATTCTAGGCCCTTTCTTGTTTCATTGTCCCCAGCTTTAACACAGGTTCTCTAAAAATCACCCGGATTCATTCTGTGAAATCCTTCCTGCATGAAGTCAGGAAAGAACCCCCACACAGCCCACCTTAGTTGTATATTATCAAATTTCTGGATGTGTGTTACAGTTATGCAAGATGTTGGGAGAACTGGGTGAAGGGTAAATGAGATCCCTCCATATTATTTCTTACAGCTGCATGTGTACCTACAATTAGCTCTAAATAAAAAGTTTCAAAAACCAAACACATATAAATACACCTTATTCCTTCCTGTTCCATTACTCCTTCTTCCCTGGTCATTCTGTTCACTCGTCTCTGCCCAAATCATCAGAGTAGCTTGCATGTTAATATGGATTAGTGGGGGCATCGTTCAAAGAGAGAAGAGCATTAGAAATAAGAAAGTGGTGCTCAGAACATGAGATATAAGAGTTGAATATTTGAGAGGAAGTTCTGGATGGATAATTACAACAGGCAATATTCTAGTAATTGCACAATTCAACTGATTGAACTAAAGTGCTAGCTGGCCAGCAACAAGGTAATGTAATAGCTGGCTGGGAATGCTATTTTCAGAGTCCAAAATGGGCATTTGAAAGACAATCAGGAACATCAATGTATAATGTATAAATGTCAAGTTATAGTCTTTTGCTATTGGCATGTTCTGTCTCCCTATCTCTCCGGCACAGCACATGCATGCTGTTTGCTGACATGAGGTCAAAGCCAGCAGCTTCTTTCTGTTGCAGCATCTCCAGGACACTCACAATGTGTTTCTTCCTAGCGGATATTTGTTGACTACCCAACAAAGTCAGTCTTATAGGTGCTGGTGGCATATCAGTAAATAAGATGAAATGTCTAGCCTCAAGAACAGTGGTTCTCAACCTTCTGGCCCTTTAAAACAGTTCCTCATGTTGTGACCCAACCATAAAATTATTTTCATTGCTACTTCATAACTGTAATGTTGCTACTGTTACTACTGTTGCTACTGAATCGTAATGTAAATATCTGATATGCAGGATGGACTTAGGAGACCCCTGTGAAAGGGTCATTCGACTGCCAAAGGGGTCGCGACCCACAGGTTGAGAACCGCTGCTCAAGAAGCTTGCACGTGGCAAGCAGACAGGCGATAGTACTACAGAACTTTAAATGTTATAATTATGTCACAACGGGCTTTAATGGGAGGGCACCTCACTCAATCTTGGGTAGTCAGGAGAGGCTTCTGTGAGAACATCCCATCTCCAGTGAAATACAGGAGTGATAGGTTAATCCAGGCAAATGAATGGGAGGTGCACATGGGGAGCCTCGATGCTCACAGCGACATCTTTCTCTCTGAAGGGGCTCTGTCTTCCTTGCTTCCCTTGGTACCTTCATCTCCACAGACCCTAATGGTGTACTGCATTCTTCTAAAGCAGTGGTTCTCAACCTGTGGGTCGCGACCCCCTTGGAGGTCGAACAACCCTTTCACAGGGGTCGCCTAAGACCATCGGAAAACCCATATATAATTACATATTGGTTTTGTGATTCACCACTATGCTTTAATTATGTTCAATTTGTAACCATGAAAATACATCCTGCATATCAGATATTTACATTACGACTCATAACAGTAGCAAAATTACAGTTATGAAGTAGCAACGAAAATAATTTTATGGTTGGGGGTCACCACAACATGAGGAACTGTATGAAAGGGTCGCGGCATTAGGAAGATTGAGAACCACTGTTCTAAAGACGTCATCTTTGTTGCTTTTGATAGATTAGGACTCTAAATATTAAGTATAGGTTACACTCTCTTTAAGCATTTGTGTACAGTCTCCTAAATTTCAGAGCGTTTAAATTTTGACGTGTACCCTAATTTTGAAGTACATTTAAAATGTAAGTGTCCCATCTTGGAACAATGTGTAATGAAAACTTGCATTTAGGTGAGCATGACTGTTTGGTGGCTGGGAAAGCGAAGGAGGAAGCAGATATCAAAATGGACAAAGCCCTCACAACCTAGTGGGGTATGAAATCTTTGCAAAAATTTTATACAAGACAGTGGCTAAGAGTCAGAAGCAACTACCTTACAAACTTTGGGACTTAATCCAATTTTCCTTGGGAATACATTGTACTGACTATGTAGGAGTTAAAGGTCTGAAACAGACGCTTCCAAATGGCACATGTTTTCACCTGGAGCAATAGCACCCAAATTATGTTGGGCAAATGAGCCGGATGAATTTAAAAAATTACCACATGCTTACTATTTAACAGAGTAAGTGAAAAGTTGTACGTCATCTTTGGATTCGTTCTCATATGGTATAATGATAAGTAAGTTACATAACCCACTGAACATTTTTTTAAGCCAGTGTTTCTCAATCTTAGAACTATTTTTTTACAGAGAGGGAAGAAGAGCGATAGAGTTAGAAACATCCATCAGCTGCCTCCTGCACGCCCCCTACTGGGGATGTGCCGCAACCAAGGTACAAGTCCTTAACTGGAATCGAACCTAGGACCCTTCAGTCCACAGGCCGACGCTCTATCCACTGAGCCTAACCGGTTAGGGCTCAGTCTTAGAACTATTGATGTCTGGGATCATACTTCTTTGTTGTAAAGGGCTGTCCTGTGTAATGCACACTTTGGCAGCATCCCTGGCCTCTACCCACTAGATACCGCCCCTTAGAGCTGTAACCACCGAAATGTCTCCAGACACCCTGGGACAAAACTGTCCTGTTGAGAACCACTGACTTTTAAGCTTTGAAGAGAAAAAAAGCAAACCCCTAAGACCCCCTCCCCCCCCCCACACACATGCATTTTAAAACAAGAGCTTAGTTTTTCCCCTAGTTTTATTGAGATATAATTGACATGCAGCACTGTACATGTTTAAATTATGTAGCATAACGTTTTGTCTTACATATCTTGTGAAAGGATCTTAGTTTTAATCCTTATCCATTACTTCTGACTCAATGTACCTGCAGTATCTGGAACCTGTCCCTCCGGTTGCACTAATCATGGTTCATTATGATTTTAAACACCTGGCTGTGTCTCTTCCTGTGTGTGAACTCTCCTAGGACCCGGCCTTGTTGCACAGGGACATGACAGTGAGAGTCCATTAGGTGAATGACCTCTGGGCCAGTTAAACACAAGATATGTTCTCAAAGTAAGGGTTTCTCTGCGATTTATTTCTTTTTGAGAATATGGAATATGTTTTAGATTCATAACTTTTTAGAATGTATTTTTATTGATTTCAGAGAGGAAGGGAGAGGAGAGAGAGATAGAAACATCAATGATGAGAGAGAATCATTGGCTGACTGCTTCCTGCAGGCCCCCTAGGGGGATCAAGCCTGCAACCCAGCTTGTGCCCTAACCTGGAATCAAACTGGCGACCTCTTGGTTCATAGGTAGATGCTCAACCTCTGAGCCACACCAGCTGGGCAAGATTCATTTTTCCCCTCATCTTAGATATGCCAATTAAAGTGCAAAGCAGAGACCTCTCTTACTGAAGCCTCCCGATGATTCAGCTTTAGGGGAAACGAGCCATTTTATCCTCTATATTTCATTCCTCCCACTTTGAATCAGAAAACACCTGCAGACTAAGTAACAGACCTGCGTGCAGAGAACAGCTAAGTCGTGCTTTGGAGTCCTTGAGCGCGTCTGCTCAGCCCAGCCGAGGCCTGGTGGGGACACACAGCCTCCAAGGGCACTGGATTCTGCCGTTAGCACGCGGCTTCCTCTGGCCCAGCCTGTGGAAGGCGCAGATGTGTGTTCATTTTCAGGCTCTCACATCTTTCCCGAGGAACTCAACTCTACTTCTCTGGCCAGAAAGGAAATACAAAACGCCCCCATTCCGCCCTTCCCCGCCCCCTGGCTTCCTTCCCACTCCCTTTTTGGTCCTCTCTGGTTACAGAAATTCTGATTTTTTCCTAGAGAGGTGGAGGAACAGCAGGCACCGGGAGCGGAGTTACATTATCCTCTTCTGTGTCCTGGTGGGACGCTAGGGAGGAAATCACACTTTGTAAGCGGCTCTCCAGGGAGAGAGATCAAGTGCAGCCCAGAAAACCCCAGCGCCCGGGTTTGGCTCCAGGTTTGATTGACAAGCAGGGGCCGAGGGAGAGCGCGGAGGCGGGGCGGGGGGCGGCGGGGCGCCGAGACAAAGGAGTTGCGGCTGCACCGAGGACAGTGCAGGGCCCTTGGGGGTACCTGGCCGGGGC